CGGGGTTTTATATTTAACCATAACTTCTACTGGAGTACATGACGCTTATAGGTGGAAGAATTCCTGCGCATAATATACGTTCCCATAACTCAAGGTATATATGTTCCAGGAGTTTTGGTGTGTAATCTCTTTCACTTGACGTTATTTACAGATTATTTAACTTGGTGATGGCTCTCAAACCATAATCACTCAATCAACAATAATTATTCAAACAATCAAATATACCAATTTAATTCTTGAATAATTAGTGACCACATAATATTTAATGTTGAACCCTTTTTAATTCTACATCGGTGCCAATGACACCTTAAACGCATAAAGCGCCACAAATCCTATCCCTCGGTGTTAAAAACACATTAATTGCACTAAGGCACCAACATACAATATATTCCTCGTGTACATAGACACTTATATAGCTCATTTCTCATGCTTATAGCATCAATAAAAATTATATGAACCATAATAAAATTCCTTTTCAATATTTCAAACCAAATTAAACATTTAGTTTAATTAAACATGCTCTCTAACATGCCACAAATAAATATGTGGTTTATAAACAATACTCCAAACTATAATTTTCCAACAAATAATCCATCACAAATAAATCATGTCTCATTATTCAATCACCAACAACAACCAATTCATAAATTCCATTCCAAATCTAGCATGATACTACTTGTAATCAATTAAGCGCATTTAGCATGCTACTACATCAATAAAATTATGCTAAGTATGTGAACGTACCTTGTATACGATCTTAAAATCGCCACGACTAATAGAAATCGCTTAGTTCAAATTCTCCTACAATTTAAAATCATAGAAGAGTATTAAAATCCTCTCTACACAAATTTCCAGCAATATACTATTATAAAACCCCTTATAATATAATTAAAATAAGCTGAAATTATATTTAAAATGTAATACTTTAATCCCAATTAATGGGTAATTAAAATTCCTTAAAGAAACTTGATTTTTAATGCTTTACCAAAAATTCCAACACTTTTTTTTTTTGTAACTTTTTGTAATTAAGTCTTAAAACACTTTAATCAAAGGTTTAAACCATTATAGATCATAACCTTTCAATAATTTATCATTCAAGAACCTAGGGTTCCAAAAATTAGGGCTTTTTAATTAAAAATATAATTTAAAAATTAATTAACATAATACTCATAATCAAACATCAAAAATCAAATCCCAAAACTCATAATTAATAATAAGATCTAGGATTAAATTGATTTTTAAATAAAGTTTTAATTTTTTTTTTCAAAGAAGAGGTGGCAGCCGACAGCCACCACGGCTGCTGTCAGCGCCGGTGGCTGCCTGCTGCCGGTGACTGGCGGCTGGTGGCCACCGCTGCTGCTAGTGGTCGGCGGTGAGGGGAGCCGAAAAAGGGGAAGGGGAAAAAGAAAAAAGAAAAATAAAGAGAAAAGGGAGAGAAGTTTACCTTGGGTTTTCTCCACTCTGGACAAAGTTTGATTTGCCTCAAGTGTTGAATATTTATATCCCTTCTGTAGAAACCCTTCTCCCTAAACTTTCCTCTTTTAATTTTCCTAATCCCTTCCTTAATAAAACTTTACTAAAATAAAACTTTCCTTAAATTAAACCCCAACTTAATTAAAATAATTAATTAAATAAACTTTCCTTTTATAAACATTCCCAAACCTTATTTAAAGTAAATAATTAAAATACTTTAAATAAAACAATTCAATTTAATTAAATACTTCTCAAAATACTCATTTTAATTAAAATACGTATAAAAATACGAGGTACTCCTTTCGTTTTTAAATACTTGCTCCACTTTCCTTTTCCGACCGTTTTTAAATACTTACTCCATTTCCTTTTTTGGAAAGCATTTACAATATTTAATTCATTACTCACACTTAGTGGACCCAACATAATACTCTCTCTCCCCCTATTCTTCCACTACTTTTGTTTTTTATAATTTTTTATTTTCTCAACTATCCCATTACCTTCATATTTTATTACTTTCTCTAATTTCTCCTAAAACTCCGCGCATGGAGAAATGGAGCAAGTATTTAAAAACGAAGGGAGTATTACAATTAAGCAAACACATTTTCTAATCGATGGGCTGAGGTTGCCCGGTTAGTCCGCCCACGTATGGCACCTAGTCATATGGTTGGCCGAACTGACTGTAACACCCTAGAAATTCCTTTCTTTATATACTCATTCTACTCTTTTTAAAAATGCGATTTAGGAATAACTAAGACATTACCGCCACCGTGAAAACGGCTAAGGCAATTATCAAAGATACACAGCAGAAGACTAAAAATTTAAAACCGATTAAACAAGTCAACCCAAAGTCAACCAAACGAAAATAAAGTTTAAAACCAAACGAACAAGTCAAATAAATTCAAATTACAACTTGGAACCATCAAAGGCCCTTATTCAAAAACCGTTCCCAAATCAAACCTTTATGTTAGTCCACACATAATATATCATAAATAAATAAAGCATAAAACACATTGTAATCTAATGAAAACTAATAGGATTCACTCTTCACTCATGCCCCATCATGATCATTCTTCAATACCTGAAAAGTTTATCTCTACTTGGTTCCACTACTCTCCATTAAAAATGGGTCATCATAGGGCCAAGGTAAAGACATGGCCAAAACATAAACACACACAATCAGCAAAGCTGAGTACATAAGCGTAAAATAGCCACACTAAACATGCTTTCACCTATCAACACACACTTACCTCATTGCACCTGTTCACAAATACCAATCAACACAATACAATGACTAGACCCTAATTAATTCATTTTGCATTGATTACGCATCGAACGGGTTTCCACCTATTAACCTCCCCCAAGTAAATTTGAGGTTAACTGGCACGGGAGCTAACCGTGCCAGCGACAAACCACACAAAGGTGGCGGAATTCCTGCGCATAATAAATAATAAAAAGGAATATACAGCGTCCTGTACTCCATTGGAAGTTATGGTTAAATATAAAACCCCATAACCCCCCCCCCCATTGTTCATACTCAAGGTATATACGTTCCAAGAGTTTTGGTGCGTAATCTCTTTCACTTTACGTTATTTACATATTATTAGACTTGGTGATGACTCTCAAAGCATAATAAATCAATCAACAATAATTATTCAATCAAACAAACATACCAATTTAATTCTTGAATAATTAGTGACCACATACTATTTAATGTTGAACCCTTTTTAATTCTACCTCAGTGTCGAAGACACCTTAGACGCATAATGCGCCAAAAATCCTATCCCTCGGTGTTAAAAACACCTTAAGTGCACAAAGGCACCAACATACAATTTATTCCTTGTGTACCTAGACACTTATATAGCTCCTTCCTCATGCTTAAAGCATCAATAAAAATTATTTGAACCATAATAAAATTCCTTTTCAATAATCCAAACATAATTAAACATGTAGTTTAATTAATCATGCCTTCTAACATGCCATATATAAAAATGTGGTTCAAACACAACATACCAAAATAATTCATTACAATTTTCCAACCCATAAATCATCACAAATAATTCATGCTTCACCATTCAATCACAAACACCATAAACTCACAATTCCATACATAAACCTTAGCATGATTCTACTTATAATCAATTACAAACAAACCTAACATGATTCTACATCACCAAATTATGCTAAGTACGCGTACGTACCTAGAGTACGTTATTAAAACTGCCACAACTAGTAGAAATCGCTTACTTCAAAGTCTCCTACACATTTAATCCATAATAGAGTATTAATATCCACTCTAAACAAATTTCCAACAATATATACTATTTTAAAACCCTTCATAAATTAATTAGAATAAGCTGAAATTATATTTAAAACACCATAAATTAAGTCCCAATTAATGGGTAATTAAAATTTCTTCAAGAAACCCAATATCAAGTGTTCTACATAAAATTCCAGCACTTTATTATACTTAAAACTTACTGTAATTTGGTTTTGAAACACTTAAAACAAAGGCCTACCCTATTATACATCATAATCTTTCAATAAATCATGAAACAAGAACCTAGGGTTTCAAAAATTGGGGCTTTTTAATTAAAAACCAAATCTGAAAATTAATTCCCACAATTACAATAACCAAACATCAAAATTAAACCTCCAAACTCATAATTTATAATTAGATCTAAGCATAGATTAAATTAAAATAAGAAAGCTAAGTTTTTTTTTTATTATTATACTCGAAAAAGGGGTAAAAAGAAGGGGGAGAAAAACGGCAGCGGCGGTGGCCACCTGCTGCCGGCGGCGTACGCTGCTGGCAGTGGTGGGGGAAAAGGGGCAGCCGAAAAAAAAAATAAGGGGAAGGGGAAAAGAAAAATAAAGAAAAATAAGGAGGAGAGAGAGAGAAGTTTACCTTGGGTTTTCTCCACTCTGGGCAAAGTTGATTTGCCCCATAAGAGGGATATTTATACCCCTTCTCTATCTCCCCTTTTTACCCTAACTTTTCTCCTTTAGTTTTTCCTAATCCCTTCCCTACTAAAACTTGTTAAAAATCATAATTTCCTAAAATAAAACCCCAACTTCTATTAATTAATTAATTAAACGGCTTTTTCTTTTGTAAAATATTCCAAATTTACATGGGATAAATAATTAAAACATCATAATTAAAATTCTAGAGTTATTTAAATACCCTAATAAAATATATATGTTAAATAAAATATGTATAAAGTGTATATACATTAAATAAAATACGTATAAAAATACGGGGTATTACAGTCTACCCCCTTAAAACAAGTTTCGTCCCGAAACTTGGGGAAACGAAACTCAAAACTTTTTCTTTTTGTGTATATTATTGCTGTACTTTTTGTCATTTATCACTCCTTTGTGTCTCTTTGAGAACACTAATACCTAAAACACTTGATAGAATTTGTGCAAAAAGCACCAGAAGTATGTAAAACATAGGGAAAAAGCGCGAAATTCTATCGCATTCCACCCCCCTTAAAGAAAACAAGTTACGCCCCTGTAACTCAACATACCTGAAACAATTCTGGGTATTTCGTTTTCATTTCATCTTCTGCCTCCCAAGTGGCTTCCTCATATTCTTGGTTAGACCAAAGTATTTTTACAATGTTCACGTTCTTATTGCGTGTACTACGCACTTTCCTGTCGAGAATCTTGACAGGTCTCTCTTCATAAGTTAAGATTTGGTCTAACTCAATGGTTTCGGGTTGTAGCACATGGGATTTATCAGGGATGTACCTTCTTAGTTGGGACACATGAAATACATCATGTACTTTACTAAGCTCCATAGGTAATGCTAACCTATTAGCTACCTTGCCTATTCTTTGTAGTATTTCATATGGACCAATGTATTTTGGACTGAGCTTTCCTTTCTTTCCAAATATCATCACCCCCTTCATTGGTGACACCTTTAACAACACCTTATCACCAATTTCAAACTCTTCTTCCCTTCGCTTCGAGTCTGCATAGCTCTTTTGGCGATCTTGAGCTGCTTGAATTTTAGCTTGAATTTCCCTTACTTGTGTTAAATGTGTCTTCAATCATTTGAGACCCTAGGATCATGGTCTCACTAATGTCATTCCAAAAAATTGGACTTCTACATTTTCTCCCATACAAAGCTTCAAATGGTGCCATTCCTATGCTTGCGTGGTAACTATTATTATAGGAAAATTCAATTAAATCCAAACTGTCTTCCCAACCTCCCTGGAAGTCTATTACACAAGCTCTCAACATGTCCTCCAAGGTTTGAATAGTTCTTTCAGTTTGCCCATCTATGGCAGGGTGAAACGCTGTACTCATCTTAAGTATTGTTCCAAAATTTTCTTGTACACTTTTCCAGAATTTTGATAGAAATCTGGAATCCCTGTCAGATACAATATCTTTTAGAACTCCATGTAACCTCACCACATGTTTGATGTAAGCTTTCGCCAGTTGCTCCATCTTCCAAGTTTCTTTCATTGGTATAAACACTGCTGATTTTGTAAGTCTGTCCACCACTACCTAAATGGTATCATTTCCACTCCTTGACTTAGGTAAGCAAGTCACGAAATCCATTGAAATTCAATCCCACTTCCATCCTGGAATTTCTAGTGACTGTACCGTTCCCTAAGGCCTTCTATGCTCTATCTTCACCTTTTGACATGTTAAACACTTTGCCACAAACTCAACAACCTCATTTTTCATTCTTGGCCACCAAAAAATCTTCTTCAAATCCTTATATAGTTTGTCTCCTCCCGGGTGTACAGAGTAAGGTGTATTGTGGCCTTCTTCCATCAACTTCCTCTTCACCTCCTCACATTTCTGTGGTACGCACCATCTATTTTTGTACCTCAAACTCCCATCTTCGTGGATTTGAAATTTGTAGTCTTTCCCTGCTTAATTTTCTCGCGAATCCTATCCAACTTTACATCCCCCTCTTGGTTGACTCGAATCTCATCAAAGATAGTTGGTTGGATGCTTAGATTTGCAAGAATACCCACTGGTACTCCCCATTCTACGACCTCCAGATTCAATTTCATCATTTCTCTACATAGTTCATTAGCCACTACCAACGAGTTGATTCCATGACTAGTCTTACGACTTAGAGCGTCCGCAACCACATTCGCTTTCCCTTCGTGGTATTGTATGTCTAAATCATAATCTGTCGTATACTCTAACCATCTTCGCTGACGGGAGTTTAAGTCCTTTTGGGTGAAAATGTATTTTAAGCTTTTGTGGTCCATGTAAATTCTACATTTCACCCCATACAAATAATGGCACCAAATTTTTAGCGCAAAAATGATTGCAGCTAATTCCAGATCATGAGTGGGATAGTTTACTTCATGCTTCTTTAACTGTCTCGATGCATATGCAATCACCTTCCCATTTTGCATAAGCACGCATCCTAAGCCATTCTTTGATGCGTCACTATACACATCATATAGTCCACTATCATCCGAGAGTGTAAGTACTAGTGCTGTGATTAGTTTCTGTTTCAAGATTTGGAACGCTTCTTCACATTTATTGTCCCACTCAAACTTTTTGTCCTTCTTCATCAAGGTGGTCATGGGTTTAGCAATTTTGGAAAAATCTTTAACAAAACGTCTATAATACCTGCTAAGCCTAAGAAACTTCTCACGTCAGATACTGTCTTGGGTGTCGGCCAACCCTTAACTGCTTCTATTTTGGTTGGACCTACCTCCACTCCGTCTTTGGACACGTAATGTCCCAAGAAGGCTACCTTTTCCAACCAAAACTCACACTTAGAGAATTTTGCGTAGAGGTGGTTTTCTCTTAGTGTTTGCAGAATTGCCCTTAGGTGTTCTGCGTGCTCTTCCTTACTCTTCGAGTACACCAATATGTCATCTATGAACATAACTACAAACTTATCCATAAATTGATGAAACCCTTTATTCATCAAATCCATAAAGATTGATGGGGCATTGGTCAATCCAAACGGCATAACTGTAAATTCGTAATGCCCATATCTTGTCCTAAATGCAGTTTTTGGAATGTCCTCGTCGGCAATCCTTAGTTGGTGATACCCAGATCTCAAGTCGATCTTTGAAAACACAGTGGCACCCTTCAGCTGGTTGAACAGATCATCTATTCTTGGCAAGGGATACTTATTCTTTATGGTTACTTTATTTAGTTCCCTATAGTCAATGCACAACCTCATACTTCCATCCTTCTTTTTCACAAACAGAACAGGTGCTCCCCAAGGAGAAGCACTTGGTCTAATGTACCCTTTGTCCAACAGATCTTGTAACTGCTCCTTTAATTCACTCATTTCTGCAGGTGCCATTCGATATGGTGCCTTGGATATTGGGGCTGTTCCGGGAACTAAATCTATAGTAAAGTCGATTGCCCTCTTAGGTGGCATTCCAGGGATTTCTTCCGGAAACACATCCAGAAATTCGTTGACCACTTCTATATTTTCTGGATTTACCACTTGTTTATGGTTCATATCCCTAACGCTGCAGAAATATACTGGATGTCCCTTCTTCATGTACTTTGCTAATTTCAGCACTGATATTACCCTTGGGCACTTAGTTTTACCATTCATCCAGTAAGTCACTGATTCATTTCCACTTGTGACCATCTTCACTTTCTGTGATCTACAACTGATCTCCACATTATACTTACTCAGCCAGTCCATCCCCAAAATAAGGTCAAAGTCGCTCAGCCCGAACTCAATGAGTTCAGAAGGGAATATCTTTCCCTCTATTTCTAAAGGCACATTTCTAAAAGTTTTGGTACAATTTACTACCCCACCTGTCGGAATGGTTATTGGTAAATCTACTACCTCTACTGTCTTTAAACGGTCTTTAAGTTTTGCAACAACAGCCTTAGAAATAAAAGAAAAAGTTGCACCAGAATCAAACAATACTTTAACAGGAATAGAGTTGATAGAAAAAGTACCAGTGATAACATCCTTCGTGGCATCCGTCTCATTCTTACTCAGAACATTCAGTTTCCCTGTAGTTCCGTTCTTCTGCTGGTTATTCCCACTTGTAGTGTTACTGTTCCTTGCCCCATTTTATTGTACTCCCTTGTTTCCAGTAAAGTTGTTGTTGTTCTGTTGGAAATTCCTCTGGTTTCCCCTTGAATTACTACTGTTTGCCTGTTCCCATTGCTATTCTCGGAGAAACACTCATATTCTCTATGCCCGAGCTTATTACAGAAACGAAAAGTGACCGCATTGCCTTCACAATCCTTTCCAGGATGGTTATTCTTGCACCTTTTGCAAAAATAAACTCTTCCATTCTTGTTGTTTCCCTGGTTATTGTTTCTAGCCCCTCCATTGTTGTTACGGTTCCCTTGACGGTTATTACCTTGGAAGTTGTTATTGTTGTGGAAGTTATTGTTATGGTGATACTTCTGTTTCTTAAAACCATTCTGGTTTCCCTGTTGGTTTCCAGAAACTTGTCCCACTTCCTTCCTCTTCTCTCTTCCTTCTATTTCAGCTAACTCTTTTTGTTCTTCTTTTCCTCCAGAGCATAAAGGTGTGTGGCCCTTCCATATACTTTATCCAGGGTCTCAAATACCTGCCCGCACAGCTTTAACTGCAAATCAGTAGTTAACCCACTCTCAAACTTCCTAGCTTTTGCTTTCTCCGTAGAGATAGATCCTTCGGCAAAACGGGATAACTCAATAAACTTGGTGTAGTATTCCGTAACTGTCATCTTTTCCATCCTAAGGTTTGAAAATTCCTCATCCTTCCGCTTCTGCAAAAAGCTAGGATAAAACTTGTCTCTCACTTTTTCTTGGAATTTGGTCCAGTTGAACCCAGGTAATGCTCTAATGGTAGCCTCGTTTTGTTGCCACCAAAGGTCAGCTTCACCCCTCAGATAGTAGGTAGCACAACTCACTTTTGAGTTTTCAGGGCATCCCACAGCTCCAAACAGTTTCTCAAATTCCCTTAACCAGTTTTCCAACACAACAGGGTCAGGCTCGCCCTGATAGGTTGGTGGCTTTCTTTGCGCCACCTTTTTAAAGAGCTCCCCTTGAGCATCCCCATTACCAGTTGAATTCCTTGCCAATTGTTGGGCAACTGCTGCCAATTTCCTTACTACTTTATTCAAATCGTTTCCACCACTACCTGAACTTTTTCCCCCTGCCATTTTGTTTCTCCTGAATATAGGACAAGGATAACTATTAGAAATGGCTAGGTTTAGCTCTCAGGACGTATACTCGTCTATTACCTAACGACTGTTAAACATATACAGTAAAATTTGAAGCTAACAATTTGGGATAGCAATTGCTAAAAATTCCCTTAATGTAGCTTTATCAATTAATATTGATTGCTAACCAACCATGCATTTAATAAAGCATCACAATAAAATATAAAAATAATTCCCATAGACGTTCGCAGCTTATAAATGTTTGTTGGAGATAAGTTGCTTGGAATGGTGATTACTGGAATAATGGTGTGAAATGGAAGATTTGTAAAACAAAAGAATTTATTAATAAAAATTTATCAAAGAAATAAATAATGATTTATTAATTAAAATAGACTGAAGATATTAAAATAAAAAAAGTGTTCCCAGAACTGATGTGGTCATGCCACTTATTAGCTAAAACTGAAATAACAAATAAATTTTAAAATAAAGAATATGAACTTTTGGCGAGGAAAGTCATAAGATCTAATCCTTTCGAACGTTGTCCCTTTTGTCGGTGGATTGCTTGTAGCTTGAAGGATCGAAATTAGAATCATTTGACTCTTCCATTGGTTCAGGTGACTCAGGTTCAGGTTCTACTTGTACAAACTCCCCTTCTTCCTCCTCATCCGATGAAATATCTATAATTATTGGAGTTGGAGGTGGATTTGGATCAGAAATGTCCATAAGTGAACTATTACCCTCTTGTTGTTCTCCATTCTCTGCTGGATTACCCCCTGACGACGACGAAGAAGAAGAAGAAGAAGAAGAAGAAGAAGAAGAAGAAGAAGAAGAAGAAGAAGCAGAATTTTCTGGTTGTTGATTAGGAGGAGGATTGTTCCCTACTGGGTTATCATAGTAGTAGTCATGGTAGGGAAGGTTTAAGCGCTAACAATAAGCTTTCTCCACCCTTACGAGATAATTAGTCTGGATAGTCTCTGTATTTATGGTAATTTGGAACGTCTCCTGGAAGATAAAAATCAGAAAATCTTTGTTTGACAGCAAAGTAAGGGGGCTCCTCTGGAAGACAATGGATAATCATTGCCGAAATACGATCAGGGGTGTCATAAACTTTCTCCCGTAGGACATCGCTCATGTAGGAACAAAAGTATCTGATCTTTTCTACAAAGTCATAGGGGTGTTCATTATTTTTCTGTACAAGAGATCCCATTTGGGTAAATTTGCTAGGAAAGATTGGCATCCTGTAGAGAAAAAGGCTTAGAAAAGATTTCCCCTCCCTAAAGAAATAAAATACAATAAAATAAATAATACAAAGTTCAGTGTTCAATCATACAATCTTTAGGGTTCACAAAGAATAAT